TTATAAGGAATTACCGAACCTCTGTCACTACTTTTGGTATGCTCTAAGTATAATAATTACACTTAGTACGAAATTCAATAACATATATTGTTCTAATTGAAGTAATCTCTTTGAATAATTGTTAATATGGACATTGACCTCTAAGCTCTTTTATAAATTTTTCATCAATCTGTTGATAATGATTAATAAATTTTATTAAAAAATCTTCATAAATTTAATTAATATCTTTTTTTACAATATGAGGTTGCAAATGAACTGTGTTAATATCTATTTCAAACATACACACATATTGTTTTAAAATCTCGATACTCTCATTATCATATTTTTCTTGTGAAAGTATATTATTTAGTTTTAAAATTGAATCTTTTAATACTGCAAGATAATATTTTTTTAAGTCTATATATTTTGTTGTCATATATTCACGATCTAAGTGTTGTTGTAAAACAATACATGCATCATATAGTTTTGTTATGTATCTAGCAATATTAGGAAAATTTCTCTCGAGTACTGAATATTTATAAGATTCGACTATTGACTTGTACTTTTCAGAAAAAATTTGACAAGCATCTTTATATTTACTGTCAATAACTGGAAAATATGTCGCAAGAAATTTTATTTTATCTAAACTATTTTGTACTAATAAATCATCAATATCTTTTTCAACTAAAGATTTAAGTACAAGATTTATTTGTTGATTCAGATATAGAATAAAAGCATTACTATAAATAACTTCGTTTCCTAAATCGTTATTTCTTAATATATCTGTAAGTTTAGCGTGATCAACATTAGTTCGATATTGTTCAATATCATCAATGCTAGAAATTTTTTGATTTGGGTGTGGGTGTGAGTGGAGTGCCAGAATGAAGAGAACGAATACACACACCCACATCCACCCACCTACACCCCACACCCACACCCACCCACCTACACCCCACACCCGCCACACACACCCGCCACACCCACACCCACCCACACCCCACACCCTACACCCACCCACACCCACACCCACATACCCACACCCGCCACCCACACCCCACACCCACACCCTATCAAGCTCCTCTCTATTTAAAAAGTTTAAAAAGAAAATTGATTATGTAAAAAAAAATGCTTTCTGACACATTCCATTGGCTTTATCAGTAAAAAGATAAGATTTTTTCCAAAAAAGATTCTTTGCTTTTTATCTTGCAAAAGAAAGACTAACTGACATGCTCTCCGTTACTTTTTTTTAACTTACAAGGTCTTTCTCTATCTTTAAGATAAAAGATAAAATGCATCTCTTATTAAACCAAAATGGATAATATACTGAACAGAAAAATTCTACACTAATGAATATTATAAATATCAACAGTAGTATTTTTCTAAAATTCTATTTAGCAAATGAAGATATGTGAAAAAACTTTAATATTAGAGTATATAACAGTTTTTTGACAATTTTTATTTCAAGTTTATCTATTAATAAATATCAAATAATTGTTTAACAATTAATGTATTAAATAATAAAGTAAACATGTCACAATAAGGTATAAATATAATTATAGATTCATTTATTTTGGTATGCGCAACGATTGAATTGTTACTATCAATATTGATGCTTTTGCTTTTATGTATTTTCCAAAGCAAAAAGAAATTCGAACATTTCCATGATTTTCTGACTGGTAATACTTTTATTTGTTTGCTAATTGATTTTTTCTTCATTATTGATATGTATGCTTATAATATATATGGGCATATCTATGAAAACATCTCATTTGACACAATTTAGTTTTGAATAATTTAAGTATTGTCCAAATTGGTATATTTTTATTAATGGGTGATTATCAATATTTGAAAGATTATCATTGTCAAATCTTAATAAATAATATACGCATTATACTTTCAAGAATGGTTTTACTATATATGATTCAACAATAAGCAATAATCAGATTGAATTACAATCCATAAATCAATTTGTCGACTTCATTAGTGTTATGATGAAGAAAAATGGATAGCATTTGCTAGTTCACCATTAGGTATTCAATGTGAAGTTCTTACAATCAAGATTGATGATCGAATAAATATTTGATCTTATTAAAAATATGAAAAAACTTCGTGCATTAAAGGTTCATTGTCGAAAAGGGTGAGGGTGTAAGGATGATCGATAAAAATCCGTATCATTTTTTTTTTGTCGATTAAATCTTAGAAGAATAAATGATTCTAAATATTCTATATTTTTTATTTAACAGTTGAAAAAGGAGTTGATGGTGTCTTGAATCTTCTGCACACTCACAATCCGCCTATTCATGTTATTAAACATAAATTATATAAGAGTGCTCATACATGAGAGAACAAAGAGATAGAAGGTTAGTCGCCGGTGAAGAGGTCACGCGAGTGAAAGAATTTCGACATTGTTGAAACATAGACCGTTATGAACAATTATCAAGCTAAATAACATCTCTATAAATATCCATTCAATTCAACCGTTCTGTTGTCACTTTATTTCTAATCTTCATCAGTATATAGCGAAAAAGAAAACACGTGTAGTATATTCTAGATAATATAACAAGGAAAATTCTTATTAAGAATAAAGTTTTCAAATACAAATCTTCATGTTTTATCAATTTCTCGATATGACATTACAAAGTAAGTTCCAATTAATTTGATGTATTTATTGATTAATTTCTTCTTTTTTAGAAGAACTTATTCATACAAAAAAGTAATTAATAAAATAAATTCTTGAATTTAATTTTATCTTTTTTCTTTATACCGTTTGTAGCTGTATTGAAAATTTATCAAATGGAATCTTCTATCAAATATTTGATTATCTTGATGGTTATGATATTTATAAAGCATTTTCAAATCTTAATAATCGTTTTGAAAATCTTCTTATTGATCCTTCATTTCTTATGAAAATTCAAATTTCTTCCACATCTGAATTTGATTATCATTATAAACAATTTATTAATTTAAACAAACATCATATTCTTTCATTTCATTTTAATAATGAATCAATTCAGAACGAAATTATGAAACCATGTATTATTGAATCATTCGATCATCTTGAATCAATTGTTCTTAATCCAATCTTAACATCGAAATTATTTGTACTTTTTTTTTATTTAGACTCTTTACCTCATTTATCTTCATTAACTATTTATCTAAGTGATTATCATGATGATCTTCGTGATATTTTTCATCTTATTTTTTGTCTTCGTGTATTAAAATATCTCAAATTTAAACTATTATCTTCTAATATACTTAATATAGGCACACGAATGCCTTTAAATCAACCATTTTCTTCAATTAAATATTTGGTTATTAATGCTGGTTGTGCTCATAATCAAATTACTAATCTATTATTATATATACCTCAACTTTCTCATTTATCGTGTGATTATTTAATCAAATCAAATAATAATATTAAATCTGAAATGATGATAAAATTAAATGATTTAATACATTTAACTGTTGTTATTAATGATATAGATTTTAATGAATTTGAAGAATTTTTATTGAAGTTATGTTCTCAATTGCAAATTTTAAATGTTAAGATTCATTCTTCTGATAAAAGTTATTTAAATGCTAATCGATGGGAACAATTAATTTCACAAAAGATGACTTCATTAAACAAATTCTTCTTTTCTTATACTGATATTATTCATGGAAATTTTAATATTACTTCTCATCCATTACTCAATGATTTTACTTCATCATTTTGGATTAATCGAAAATGGATTTTCAAACTATTAGCTCATGATGATGAACTCATTTATTCAATATGTCCTTATTCCTAAAGATTTTTTTGTATTGTTATATTATCTTATTGTTTAATAAAGATTTTGTTATGATAAGTTTATCATTAAAAAAATTGTTTCGATTTGGTTGAAAGAGCGTTTAAATAATTCGTATATCATCATTTAGATGAAATGCTAATGTACATCTAGGATATTAATGAACAAAAATTAAGATATCAATATTTAACAGACAGCATATCTTGCATTTCAATTATGTGTTTTAATTTGTTATCGTAATAGATAGTTCTTTGTACAACAGACGTTTTACATTAAAATAACACAATTCGATTTGATGCCTTGCTTTCCATAATATACTATTGATATATAGTATATTTTCCAAAGGAACAAAGTAATGTAATCAATCTGCGAGTGAAAAAGAACAAATGATCAAGATTTACAACTAACGACAACTGTCGAGAATTTTCTGAACTGTGGAAAAAAAGGTATTTTATGGACTATTAGATACGATAAGTAGAATTTTCATATGATTAGAATAAAGAACGAAACAATAGAATTTATTTTTTTCTTCGTATAGGAAATCAGTCAATTATATGGAAAATTTACCAAATGAAATCTTCTACGAGATGTTTGATTTTCTCGATGGTTATGATATATATCAAGCATTTTCAAATCTTAATAATCGTTTTGAAAATCTTATTAATTCTTCATTACTTATGACAATTCAAATTTCATCTTCAACAACCCTCGATTCACGTTATAAACATTTTCTTGATTCAAATAAACATCGTATTATTTCACTTCGTTTTTCTACTGAACTATTTTTCAATCATTTCATTAAGTTTTACACCATTGATTCATCATTTCTTCGTCTTCAATTACTTGTTTTTAAACCAATGTCCAGATGTATATTAATCACATTTCTCTTCAATTTAAAATTCTTACCTCAATTGTTCGCATTAACTATGTACTTTATTTATTGTTTTGATAATCTTGGTGATATTTATCAAATGATTCTTCATTTACCAGTATTAGAATATCTTAAATTGAAAATATCAGAAGCTGAACAATTAGAGATCAACATACCAATTGCTGCTAATAATCATTTTTCATCAATTAAATATTTGGTTATTGATCATTGTTGTACAATTAATCAACTTATGAATCTATTATTATACATACCTCAACTTTCTCATTTATCTTGTGGTTGTTTAATCAAATCAAATAATAATATTAAATCTGAAATGATGATAAAATTAAATGATTTAATACATTTAACTGTTGTTATTGGTGATATAGATTTTAATGAATTTGAAGAATTTTTGTTGAGGTTATGTTCTCAATTGCAAATTTTAAATGTTAAGATTCATTCTTTTGATAAAAGTTATTTAAATGCTAATCGATGGGAACAATTAATTTCACAAAAGATGACTTCAGTAAATAAATTCTTCTTTTCTTATACTGATATTATTTATGGGAATTTTAATATTACTTCTCATCCATTACTCAATGATTTTACTGCATCATTTTGGATTAATCGAAAATGGATTTTCAAAGTATTAGCTCATGATGATGAACTGACGTATTCAATACGTCCTTATTCATAAAGATTTCTTTTTTTTTAAATTGTTTTTCAATTGTTATATTCTCTTGTTATTTAAAAAAAATTTGCTTAAGTGTATCGTTATAAAATTGGTTAGATTTCGTTGAAAGATTATTTAAATAATTCGCATATCATTATTTAGATGAAATGCTGATGAACATCGAGGATATTGATGAACAAAAATAAACTAAGATCTGAATATATAACAGACAACATATCTTCTTTCATTTCAATTATGTGTTTTAATTTGTTATTGTAATGAATAATTCTTTGTGTAAGAGGTGTTTTACATTAAAATAACACAGTTCGATTTGATGACTTGTTTTCCATAATATACTATTGATATGTAGTATATTTTCCAAAGGAACAAAGTAATGTAATCCATCTGCGAGTGTGAAAAAGAACAAATGATCAAGATTAACAACAACTATGAAGAATTTTCTAAACTGTATAAAAAAAAATATATTATAGACTAGATAGATACGATAAGTGGAATTTTCAAATGATTAGAATAAAGAACGAAACAATAGAATTTTAGGCATACAATAATAGATCATATAAATATGTCGGAAGCTAAAAAAGAACAACCAGATATTCGTTTGTCTTCCGATCCAATTATACGAAGTAAGTTATAATCAATTCATTTATTTGATACATTCTAATTTATTCTAGAATCATTGTGTTCGAACGAGTAAGAAATAAAAGAAATATTTTCATTGAATCATTTTATTTTTTTTTTCATATAGGAAATCAATCAATTGTATTGAAGATTTATCGAATGAAATCTTCTATGAAATATTTGATTATCTCGATGGTTATGATGTTTATAAGGCATTTTCAAATCTTAATAATCCTTCTGAAAATCTTCTTATTAAGTCTTCACTTCTTATGAAAATTCAAATTTCTTCCACATCTGAATTTGATTATCATTATAAAGAATTAATTAATTTAAACAAACGTCATATTCTTTCATTTCATTTTAATAATGAATTAATTCTGGGCACAATCATGCAATCAAGTATTATTAAATCATTCGATCATCTTGAATGAATTGTTCTTAATGATGCTTCAATATTTAAATTCGGAGTATTTCTCTTTTATTTACAATATTTACCAGGTCTTTCTCATTTAACTGCTTGTTTGGATCATTGTTCTACGAATGTTGGTAAAATTTATTCAATGGTTTTTAAATTACCTTTATTAAAGTATTTCAAATCGGTAATATCAGATTATCCAGCATCCGATCTTACCTTACCAATTGCAACAAAAGGACGATATTCTTCAATTGAATATTTATGTATGTATCATTTTTTGACTCTTGATCATCTTCCTCATTTACTTTCTTATCTACCTCCACTTATTTATTTAAATTGTTTTGACATATTTCAATCAAATGTTGTTGTACAATTTGATATATTAACTCCATTGATGAATTTAAAACATCTATCAATTAGTGTACATAATCTTACATTTGATCGATTTGAAAAATTTCTTATAAAAATCTCGTCTCAATTAAGATTTTTAAGTGTTAAAGTTCAAGGTATCAATAAAAAGTATTTAGAAGCTGATCGATGGGAACAATTAATTATCCAATATATACCATATTTAACAAAATTTACTTCTACTTATACGGAAGAAAATATTGATAATACTTTCCAAGTGATCTCTTCTCATGCATTAATCAATCGTTTTATTTCATCATTTTGGTCTAACCATCAATGGTTATTCGAAATTCTAATCGATTATGATCTTATTACCTATTCAATTCGTCCGTATACATATGCCTTAAGAACATTTTTTATTAACCAATGTTTTTTGTAATGTTTTTTTAGAAAAAATTTATATGATTTTCAAGAACGTAGAGACTACGAGACAAATTCTAATCACAATTCTTTGGTTCATTACTATTCAGGTGTACAGATGTGCATTCCAAAACTTCGGTAATATTAACTTTTTCATTGACTATTTTGAAAAGATGAATAATACAACTTGAATTAGATTTTTTATTCGGTAGAATAAGTATTATCGGGAATGAGAATATTTAAACATTATGATATTTTTTTTCTTTTCAATATTTTTATTTCGAATAAAATTTAGAGAGCCATCAATTTGTTCTACTGAATCCTATCAAATATTTATAGGATGAATCTATGGGGACCCATCCACTTTTTGGAAAGGTTTTTCTTTTCGCTTCAAAACGCCGGTATGCACTAGAGAACACTTTTGATGAAAAACAAATAGGTCCTTCCTATTCAAAATCCCGAGTTTTGGAGCAGTTTTTCGGAACTCCTATGATATATTTTTATATATAGAGAAAATGTCAGGAAAAAAGCCTAGAACTTCTTCAAAAGCTATTTTTTCGGAATTTTCTGGTGTTCAAAAATGTAAAACAAGTCTAGAAACATGTTTCCTAAGAAACATTAGACCGGTCCTGTTGAGAGTCCTGAGTGCTGAGTCATTTTCTCTGAATATAGCAACAGTCATATTTCGTCAACTTGAGTTGCATTCAATTAATTTGAAGCATTTTTATCTTCTCTTCCTCGTAGAGTACAACAACTTTCATGATACTATCTTCTCAGAACGATGTCGAACTGATGACTTTGCCCACATCACTAGAAAGATTTGTCGTTAACCCGTCTTGCAGAAGTAAGACCACGGAGTCGAAAGGAACAGTACTATCGAAATGATAGATTTTCCATTTCTCTGTAAGGACATCTTTACACATAGAGTCTTATCCACAAATGTCGTGACTTCAAACGAATAAGATTACGAGATGAATCATTGGATATTAGAAAATATCGATTGCCCACTAGTACCTCTTTTTTTTTCAAAATTGTATCCCAATGCCGAAACGAAAATGTTGTGAACATCCGATAAAGCATGAAAAATCTACACGTGTACCAAAAGGAGTAGTGACTGTGTCATCACAGCTATCGAAATTTTTGATTTCTCAATATGATGTGGCTTACACCCGAATTTGCTGGTTGTGTCCAAGATGTCATGCATTTAAATCGAAGAAAATGATGACTCATCAATCAATGGAATTCAACGACGCCGAAAGTCCAAGTGGTGATGAACTCATGACAGAAGATTCTCCTGCCAATGATGGCGAAAATGATGATGATGCTGTCAGTGTGGAGTTTAACGATCTGAATGAAGAAGAGAAATAGAATCCTCATATTGATAGTGGTATCATAGCTGAGTCAAATGACGATGATGATGAATCAACACGTATGGATGATGAGACGACTGATCCTGAGTCGATGGATGAAGAGACAGGTCATGTTTTCTATGAACTCGAACATCAGAAAGACAAAGCAATGGAATAATTATCAAATATATTCAAGGTATTGAACATAGGCCCGATCCATGATAGGTTAGTTTGTAAATAGAATTCGAATTTTCTGAAACGACATTGATATTTAGATCAGCAGTATTACCCATTCGAACCAAAGTTGATGAGGTGTATAGAAACCTTAATCGGTTAGGTGACATATTGGATGGAAAGTCTCAAGTGTCGCATGATTCAAATCCTCACGGACTAATGATATGTGAATCAAATGAACTTTTGGATGGAATAAAATAAATTAAAATAACAATCATTTATATCTTCATTTGATAATGATTCAACTATTAATTTAAATAATAATAAAACAATTTCAATATGAAATAAATTTCTTTTCTCTTAATAATAAGTAACAAATATTGATTATTTATTATTTTTATCGTCTCTATATTTCGATTAAAAGAGAGAATTAATATAATTAATGATAATATTCTTTCTTTGATTAGATATGAAATATAAATAATATTAGAAATATAACAGATCATTTATCTAAATTATTTTCATTAGTCTATTCATTATTTTTTTTTCTCAAAAAATTATTTTTATTAGCGAACTAATATTTTATTTTATAAGACAATTTCCGCTTCTTTATCCTATTGAAAATCTAATATTGATAATGCCATTGTTATATATCGACAAGAAATCAAAATCTTATTTGAAAGAGAATTTTTCTGCTTAATTATAATTAAATTGACTGAAAATTATTTTCAATAATGTTTATTTTAAAAATAGTAAATTATAATTTTTATAGAATTTAATATAAAAGATAATCATTATAATTTATTTGTGTTTCAAAATTTCAAACTCTAATTTATTCGTTAGATACATTTTATTAATATAAAAAAGGACAAGTGATAAATTTCTACGAAACAATAATTATTTTTTAAGGATAATATTGATAGTACGAGACATGATAAAATATTATTTATCAATGTCGTAGAACAATTTTTCATAATAATTGAATTCATTGTTATTTCGTTTCATTACTATTTACTCGTAATGAAAATCATTGATCTTCATTTCATATTTTATTTATTCTTAAAACAAGTTATTTATGTAAAATAAAATTCTCTTTTGAATATAAGTATCGAATAGATCTTTAAATAAGCTATTATTTATCTTGATTTATTTAGAAAAACTTATATAGACTATTTCTTTAAGTTAAATATTGATGAGTTCATATTTCTTTGTCTTATTCATATGATGATTTTAGAACAATGAGGGTGTGGGTGTGGGTGTGGGTGTGAGTATTATCCTCAATTACACCTGCACACATACACTCATACCCACACCCACACCCACATGTATGAAAAGTCATTGCTAAGATATCTGTCATTTCTATTAGAAAATCCATCCTAATTTCTTTCCATATACTTCGGTGCTCCTTTTAGATTGTATTTCTCAAAAGAATCAGATTTAATATTTAACAGTTGTAAGATTCTTGTCAAATTAGGAGTTTTCTCGAATTGTAAATCGAGATTTTGTCGACTAGATTTTGATATTGAGAATATGGAAAAAAATTGATAGATTTATCTGTAAAAATAATAATTGGAAAAGAATAGAGACAACTAAACGAAGGTGAGATATAGCTAACATATTTTCTTCACATTGTAGTTATTTTTTTCGTCTCATCAATATACTTTCTTTCTTGTTCTTCAATATAGTTATGTTTTTGCATTCATTTATTCTTTTGATACGCTTGGAAGCGCCAAGTTCATAATCTTTATAATTATATTGGTGAGAAATTGTGAAATACTGCGTTTCTGATATTCCTTTTGAGTTAAATGTCTTCATTGGTTTTAAATAAAGTGTAAACACTTTTCATGTCTATATCTATCAATATAATTAATAAAAAATGGATTAAAAAAATGTTTATTCTGTGTATTTCATAATAGAAATTGCAGATCTTTTCCATTTTAAATAGTTTATAACTACTGATGGTGACTCTTAATCGTGGAAATCAACACTAGATGAGTGATTGATAAAATACGCTTTAATCAAATAGCGATTAAGTTTAATTATATACGACATGTTTTTGTCATACAGAACAATTAATCGTTTAATTATAACTTGGATACAAATGACTAAGATACAGAAAAAGTTTTGAGTGTTTTTTCTATACATTTCCAAGAATTACGTTTGTTAGTTGGAACTGCAATAATACACACGTCACAATAATATAGCAAACTGAGTTATAATACTCTTAAATTTTGTAATGATTATTGATATAGATATGATACGTGGCAGTATGATTTCTGCTAAGCAAAGAATCATTGTGTGACGCAAAGCTAGGTCGGTGTCGATGCAAGTCCATATGTTTCCTAGAACGTCATCCAAATTCTGTCGTCTATCGGCCGTTATTGCCTATTCGGTTTATTCTACATTCTATTTCAGCAAGCAATTCTAATGTGGAAAGTGTTTTATTTTTGAAAAAAAGGCATTTGTCTAATATTTTTTGCAATACATTTTAGCAAATTTAATAGCTGCAGAAATACAAATGCATTGAAACACATCATTGTCGCACGAACACCTACATACATCTGTTATCTCCATAAGAATTGCTTACTGAAAGTGGTGCAAACAGTAGATATAGCTACATTCAAAAAATGATATGCGTAATAAAATATCTATCTTCTTCATGTATTATTCAGTTTGAAGCCGATTGTTGCCAAAAGCGTCACTATCAATAGCGCTTAGCTTGTTGATCAGCATTATTTTTATTGATGGTAATGAGAAAAATGCAGAAGACTCATTGCAACAAAACTGAGAAGCAAATCGGATATTTTTAACATCGATACCAACCTAGTAACAACGAACTACCTCTTTATGTACTTTTAGACGTCAATTATCTAGTCGTTCGAAGAAAATGGGTTAAAACAGATTGAAGTTCTTGTATTAAATCATGCGTGCATTGATTTCAACAGCAAGCAGTATGGATTAGATGAGAAAAGCTCGATGTACTTTGAAATGATCGATTCAAACAAATTATCGACAACAAATGCATAGAACACGAGCGAACCATTTGTATAAGTCAATACTACAAACTCGTAATGAGGCCATGACCACTGTAAAGGAAAGATAAATTTTTGCCAGTCATAGACGTGTCATAGAGAATAGAACAATAATACCATCTTAGTACAGTTCTAGTATCGAACCATTATTTTTCCCTTTTTTTTTATCTTGTTGACTCATAATGACATACATAAACAATAGACTGATCGTTTTTTCCAACTTTTTTTTCTTGGAAAAATACTTCCACGTTCTTTTTATATGTCTTCTGTTTGTTGTTAAGTCATAGCTGTATATATTTTCAGCGTCTTTTTATAGATAAAAACATGATGTCATGTGTTACTGACTTATGATGAAGGTTAAATGAGTCATGGCTATAGGGTTTTTTCCCATTGATTTCTTTTTTGGGGGATATAAATATGTATCATTTATGCTTATTTACAATTCATTCGTCGATCCATACTGATCTATTCACTACAAATCTATACATTCGAAAATCTTACGATATTACTACCGGTACAGTTTTTATTTTTATTCGATGAGAATTAACTGTTGCACGTCTCTCTATCTAACAAGTCATCTCCTGTCGAATTTCTTTTCATCTATGTAGTACTCTTGATTTCGAAAAAAATATCTTATAGAACAAGCTCTTGTGCGTGAGAAATTGAAAAACATAATTTCAAGTTGATGTAAAATATCCAATAACCAGAAGATAATCTAAGTATCTTTTTCTCTTTCAATATTCCACATTCTTACTAGATTAGTAGGTACATATTTGAATACAATCACACTTTCCTAGTTTATAGTGAAAAAAAGATAGTTTTCCAACAAAATCACGTAAAAAATGTGGATCATTATATTGAGTTACACAAGAATTCACTCAAACTACAGACACTTAGTTAGGTAAGACAGAAAAAAAGTTAATTCAGATTTATACTTCATGATATTATGAGTTATTCGCCTTCAAAGCTCAATAATAAAAAGATAATCATATGAATATTGGAGATCTGCATCGCATTTTGTTTGATTATAGATCTCATAATCTTCAAAAACAAAAATTGCGAAATAATAGTGTCCGAGACGCCTTGCAGAATCTTCAACAAAAATTAGGATTTTCTCTTTTCTAGTTATAGTTGACTCTACGATAGCCAGTGGCTTGTAAATGCCAATTATTTTTCTTGCTTCGATAACGGTGGTCCTGTGTAAGCATCTATGTCCATATAGCACAACGCAAGCACCTTATCACTGCTCAGTTCTATCCATCACTCATCGTGTCGACCCCTTCTATTTAGCATTACTTGTAAAAATATATTCAAGTGTAAGAAATAATTTATTCTAGGATGTTTTTGAAGATTCTCAGACGGGACCTTTGTTTTAGGAACTGTGGACTTTGAAACAGCTTTTTCATTTTAAAAGTTATCATTTTCAGATATCGGATGGATAAGCTATGAGTTTTATATTTTGAGTCTGAGAGAACGAGTTTCCAAACTTAGATGTTTTGAAACTTTTATTTTGAGGAATCCATCAATTAAAGAATCTACTCACGATTTTCTTCTTCTAGAAAAACCTACTCTCTAATAAAGTTCTAACCGTATAGTGCAGAATGGCCATGATCACGTTCATTGAATTCCAGCAAACATTAACAGCCTGTGGATATCTATTGCCAACTAATATTCAAGAAAAGTATAATGGTTTGATTAATGCCATACCGGCAGCAAGTATTACCACTAGAGCAGAGTTAGCAATGTTCTTGGCTAACATCTACCATGAAAGTGGAGGTCTCATGCACACAGAGGAGATTAATCCTGCAGGTAATTACGAAGGAGGTCAAAGGTACCGTGGACGAGGATACATTCAGTTGACTCATCAAAGCAACTATAGACATGCGTCATTAGATCTATACCGTGACGATCGCTTGGTTGATAATCCTGACTTGGTTGCGCAGGATGAAAATGTGGCTTGGGCTACGACTGC